GAAAAGAATGCATAGAGCAGAAACTGCAACATGCATAAAAGCATAGTCAGAAACTGGGCTAGAACAAAAACTGTGGCAGCGTAGTATGTTGAAAAGGATATGTTGGCACAGTTTCTAGCCAACACTCTTACACCTCTGTTAGAGAACTTATTTCATGGGATAAACTGTTGTATATTAATGAAAACTAAATACAGGAGAAGGCTCACTGATTAATTAACACCAGCTAAGTTAAAATATGTCACTGTTCTGATATGGACCAGAAAACTTCTCCAATTCTTCATCTGTCTTGTCTTTTATTTCGCTGTCCCATCCAACTTGTGACAATATGAAATGAAAATTTTCAACATTCAAGGACAAAGGAGTAAATGTGGAAAGTGGTATCCTGTATCTGATTTACCTCTGTGGTATTTGTATGTACTTCATAGAACAGTCCCACATATCTCAATAGCCCTCTCCTATTAGGCCCTCTCCGGTTATATTGAACCACCCACTGGGGGATGGATGACAGGAGCAGAGTGGGGTAAAAATTTGAAAAGTGGGCAAAACTATGAGATGCCTTTATAAACCAAATATTATCCTTGAAATAGGATAACATTAAGGTGATGCACACTTGAAAGAGTTAGCAACTACTAAGAGAAGAGGAAAGGAGGACAGGGGAATAATGAAAACTTAAATTTCAAGTTTGAATACTTGATAAATGTGAATGCTACACAATAAGATGATGTATAAAGGCACAAATAGATTTGGTATGAAAATCTTAAATTCAAGAGCTGCAGATATGGCTCAGTGGCCCAGTGTCTACCCAGCAAGTACAAGGTCCTAAGCTAAATTCCCAGTACAAAAACAAAACAAAACAAAAGTAAAGCTTAAATTCTGTTTTATACATACAGAGCTTTGTACTTACAGGACATAAAAATAAAAATATTTGTTAATATCTTTTACATTATGAGAAAGATCTGGGGGAGGCGGCAGATATAGGTAAGCTTCAGGAGATGAAATCCACAGGATGGATAAGAATACCTAGGAAAAATCATATTCAGCAGAAATACAGAGACAGATCTAGGGCACTCCCCTAAGAATCTCTTACATTAATTGGTATGAAAGAGGCTATGGGGAAATCCCCGAAGATAATGGAGGGAAAAAAATATAATGGCTTCAAAAAACCAAGTAGTTCACAATGTGCAATGCTAAAAAGGAGAGAAAGACCCATTAAATTACTAAGAAGCTTGCAAACTTAAACCCAACTATACTTACTCTTTGTGAACTCCCATCAGCCACTTGATCAAATCTCATTTTCTCCCTCTGTAACACAGGAGAAACGCCTTCCTTACCTACCCTGTGGTGTTAACATATCACAATGTACATGAAGGTACTATCTAAACTTTAAATACAGAGTACAGCTAGTGTTGGCGCAAGTGTAGTCATCTGAGCAGTGCTCACGAAGGTCAGCCCTCTGCTCCACTCACATGACAAGCCAACCTTCACTGACCAATCTAAAGCTTTCAAAGGGGCTCATGGCAAGGCAAATACATACTATAATATGTTCTCTATTCCAGGCCATTATTGTTATTGAAGCACATTTCAAAATAAATTCTTCCTAGATCCTTGTTGTTGTCTTTTTTTAAGAATAGCATGCAGTTCTTGAGAGAAAGAAAGTTTCTCACTAAAAGGGACAGAAGGAGCCCTGCAGAGTGCGTGGCCTGCCAACCTGGCTTGTCATGGGTGTTTTACTGAGCAAAGCCAGAAACTGAGACAGATTCAAAGTGGGACAAAACTATAATCAACTAATAAGATTAGAAGTATAGTCACTTAGGTAATATTGATTAAACGAGGATCAAATTAAGAAGCAAGTCTCATAGCAAGTGCACATGGGGTGGCCAAGGACTTTCCTGGAAGGGGTAGGTCAGGGAGGTTTTGGTCCTTCACCCCCAAAGAACTAATGCCTCTTTCCTAGATCCTTGACCAACTGCTCTGAAGAGAGATCTCTGGCTAACTCAAGATAGGATGTCACAAAGGGACAATTAAATGGACTTGATTTAAAATACTAAGAATTCGGAAACATAACTACAGCAACCAACTGCATTGTAAACAAGAGACTGAAAATAAAAGCAAAAGATCCAAATGTAAAATATCATCTTAGGGGGCAATTAGTGAGAACTCATGGAGGTACACACACACACACACAAACACAGAATTGTACTAATTTTTATTTGTACCACAGTAACTCACTAGTCCATCATACTTGATTCAGAACCCTTACAGATAAGGTGAAAATAACAAGCATGCAAAAGAGGATTTCAAATGAAGAAAAGGTAAGCAAAGGTGAGACAGACTATCAATGAAAAGAAACTGCCTCCCACATCACCATCTTTACATGCTACAGTTTTTAGCTGCTAATTTTCTTTCCTCTGTATCAAGCATACAATGTATCTAAATGGCTGGCTAGTTATATATTCATGTTGGGCCAAAGACACCCTACCCAACTGAGTTACCAGAATAAAAATAAAATAAAAAAACTATCATAGTCTATATGTGCTGTCTTAACACTGGACTGAAGCTAGGTGATTTTTTTTTTTTTTTT